TTAACCTTGGAGAAGGTTACAACCAAAAAAACATAGGCTAGGAAATGGTCCCCACCTACTCTAAAATCCTGTTAGGCCGTAAGATGACTAGAAGAGTGTTTGAATTTTTAATCAGTTTATCAGCTGCCATACTATTTGTATAAGGAGGGCAATCCAATATTGCATATTTATTGTAAAACACTTCAAAATTTAAAGCCATTAAAAAAGTTTTTGCCCTGGCCAATGTGGCTCAGTTGGTTGTAGCGTCTCCCTGTAAACTGAAAGGTCATAGGTTCAATTCCCCATCAGGACCATACCTAGGTGGGGTTTGGTCCCCACCTGGGACATGTACAAAAGGCAACTGATGGGTGTTTCTCTCCCTCTCTCTCTCCCAGTTCCTTCCCCTCTCTAAAATCAATTAGCATGTCCTCAGGTGAGGATTTGGCACGGGGGGGGGGGGGGGGGGGTCTATCACCAAAAATTGCACAATATAACACCTATGCATACACACACACACACAAATCAAATGACATGTATTCCTAAAACTATATATATATTTATATATTTTAGGGAAAAATACATTTCCAAGTGAACATTAATTTTTCTCTATTAAATGACCAAAAGATTCCACAAACACTTAAATGGTTTGGTCAAAATTGTTATTTAGCCAATGATTATTTAAAACTAATTGGACCTGAATAATCCTACAGAATTATAAAAATAACATACTGTAGTCCTTCAGAGTAGGAACTCAAACTTTACAAACAAAGTTATCCTTGCATCAACTGCTGAGAGTTAAGTTATCAAATCTGAGGATCAGCCTGGGGCTTCAATTACTATTTATCATAACTTACCTCCTTTGGTGTTAGAATATTTAAGTTTTATAGAATATTCAATGAAAAAAAAAATCTGTATGTGCATCCTAGCTTTGTGACTACAATAGTTTAAAAATAGAAAAATAACAGAAGATTGAGCTTTTCCTGCACAAATTACTTTTTACTTCCTCCAGCTAGTGGGGATGAGTGCTAATGTAGAGTTTCTCTTACTCTAATGTGCACATGGATTACCTGGGGACCTTGTTAAAATGCAGATTATGACTGAGAAGATCTCACTAGGGGTCCGAGAGTATGCATTTCTAGCAAGCTCCCTGTTGATGTCAAATTCCTACATAGAGCACTCTTTAAGTATAGCAAGCTTCTAAAAAAAAATAAAATAAAATGAAAATAAAAAGGCATACTTTACAATGCTTAGATGGCCACAGTTTGCAAAGCACTGCTTTTGATAATGTTTCCAATTCAATTCCCAATTGAGCAACCTAGTATTTTCCCATCCTTATCTTACTTGGTCCCTCATATGGATATGATACTTAATCACGCCATCATTCATAAAAGTTAGAAACTTGCATCCTAACTTCGTTCTACCTCTCTTTGTTTTTGATCTCTTCCCATGCTCCTCATACTTACATGTTGGTGCATCGCAGGATTAGATCCTCTGCTTTCTCTCTTGTCCATTCTAATGCTGTTCCAGGATCACCTATATGCTAATAGATTCAACTTCTGCATCTCCACCCTAGCCACGTCTCCCCATCTTCGAGCCATAAATTTAACTACCTAATAGACATGTCTAACCAGTCTTCACGGGTACCGCCAACACAAAATATCTCAAACAGAACTCATCAACACTTTCCATCCCAAAACCAGCTTCTGCAACCCTGTATTGACTTTGTTACAAGCACCACTATCAGCCCATTGTCAAAATCACATCTTAAGACTCTACCCTTCTCCCTTACCAAGTGCAAATAATCCATCTTCTAATTATTTCTCAAATTTCATTCCGTCCTCTCTAGCATCAATATCAGTTTGGGCATAAATCATTTCTGTCTGGTTACCATAGTAACCTAACCAGTCTTCTTGCTTCAAATCTCATTTTGCTCCTCAGGCCCATCCTCCACTGTGTAACCTTTGCAAACATAACTTGATAACATGCCCCTATTAAAATTCACCAATGATTCCTCATTACCTTTAACAAAAAGTACGATTTTTTTTTTTTTTAGCACAGCATATAAAGCTCTTCACAGTCTGGATTTTGTCTATTTCTCTGGTCTCAACTCTCACTACTGCCCCTTAAGTCAGCATGTATCCTTGCCGTATCAGGCTCTTTGCAGCTTCCCAAAAATGCCACATTCTCTAATGTCTGTGTGTCTGCATAGGCTATTATTCTTTTAATGCCCTTACTAAGCTAAGTACTAATCTTTCAAGACTCTACTCAAGCATTACATGCTTTAAAATGCCTTTTCTAACCACCTCGGGTCTGAGCAAGGTAACACCACAGACCGCGCGCCCTCCCTCACAGCTGCTTTCCCTATGCATACTCTAAGCTATTACTTGTCAAATGTATTATAATCGCTGGTTTATTCATCTCCACGAGACTCGGCTCATCAATTAGTCCTTTTAAGAACATACGTGGTACATATAATATGCAGTACATGGTGGGTTCTCAATAAATGTTTGCTGAACAATACTGAAATACATTCATGAATAATTATGGCTACATATTTAAATTATAACTTCCAATAATTGTGTCTCTCAGGTAATAAAAAGTTTACTTCACTTTATTTTTGACCTAACAGAACTTCCTAAGACTTCACAAAACACAGAAGTCCAAAATACCTAAGGTATTCACTTAATTATCAACAATCTAAAGATATTTGTTAAAAATATTAGTACTGCCTTCTGAATATTGGGTTAAACTGAGATATTTTAATTTCACTGACTATAGTGTTAGACAAATAAGAGCACTAGTGTCTTCTCTCATGGCTGAAGTAAGGAAAGAGTATGGTTAAATGATGCACACACTATTCAAGTGGCTTAGGTTTGCACCCTGACTTTACTTACTAATTATAGACCTTGGATAACAATGAACACCTCCAAGCCTCAGTTTCTTTGATGGAAAACCGAGATAAAATTGTTTACCTACCATATGCATTGTGTTTAAAATATTTAGATATGAATGCGAAAGCATTTCTACAAACCACAAAGTGCTACATAAATGCGAACTACTGCCATCCCAACATCTGCCAATGATTCCACAGGTGCAAATTTAAAGTTTCATGGGCTACACCAACCTCCTCTCCCATACCCATCTCATACTTCTCTCCAATGACAAAATTCATAAAGAAAATTAAGTGCCAAGATAACTAGAGCACAAGACTTATATTCAATTGTCTTCAATACTCTCATGTGGTTGAAGTGTTTCATGATATCTAATTTAAAAATAATCTGACATGATGTTAAAAAGAGGTTATTTTTATAAATATCAAAGTAAATCTCAAGGTAAGTTGTTGGTACAGTCATTGAAATTTCAGCTCCATTTAAAAAAATTAACTGGAGGACAAAAATCAGCAGGGAATATTTAGAGATATTGGCGCTAAACATCTTCACTTGACCTTGGCTGAAAGGCCAGGAAGAGATACCTAAATATCTTGATTCATATATAGCCTAATATTAAAGTTGAAAAGTCACCATCGCAAAACCAAGACTTTTCCCCCAAGTTTCTGGCTTGTTTCTCAGATATGCCTCCTAGTCTAATGATCAGAAGAGAAAATTTGCTGCATCTTTCTAAACTAAAAAAGTGACAGAGCATATTAACTCTGCTCTCAGCAGTATTTTTCTTTGTTAAAGAGGGACTTATGGGGACTAGGGACTACATTAGAACTATTTTCAGTTCATTCTGCAATATTGATAAAAATAGGATTCCTTCACCTTCAAGGGGCAAAACTCTTTTAAAAAAAAAAGGAAAAAGAAAAAACAAAATCTACTACAAAAGTCAGCACTTCGGTACCTGATTGTGGTAACAAGGCCAAAATCCAAGACGAAGCCCTTTATTGCACATCGTGTTCCAACGTCTTGGGCAGCCCCGTCTTGCGACCTCTCCAGATTGGCTGCTCCTGCTCTCTCTACTGCAGAGAGAACTTCAATTAGAGAAATTCTGAAGCTCATGAATCTAAACTGGACACTCCCCTCACTGGAGGCAAGAATGGTAAGAATTACTAAAAAGATTTAAGTTAGAGGAGGTTTCAAATCAAAGTGGCTGGAAACCACCATAAGGCAGACAGCTGAGTGTCTTATGAAACAACAGTCTATTGACCTAAAAAAAGTCTTAAGGAAAAGAATGGCAGCAAATTATTACATAACCTGAAAAAACAGGTTATGTAATCCTAAATCTCTAAAGAGTGCAACATTCTCCACTAAACTTGTGTAGAATTTGTATTTATAACACAAATTTAGAGCTAACCATTCATGTTCATAATCCTTATGACAAAAGCAAGCAAGAAAAAAAAAACCTAGGACATATTATCAACTTCATTTTATGCCCTAAAATAACTTCACTGAAAAAAAAAAAAAAGTTTGGTTAAAAACCACCACTTAGGAAGGAGAGGTTTCCCTGCTGACTTAAGCCTAGCTGCCCAAGCAAGGCTTCGGAAATATCTTCGCCTATAGTAGTGCGTAGGCAAAGGAGCAGCGGCTATGGCGGTCTTCCTAGTGATACTTCCAAGTCACATAAAGAAGGTATGTTTCTGGGATAGACTGCCAACAAGTTACTGGGAAAAAAAAACAGAAACAGCAAAAACCTGGCAAATAAATAGCCCGATGCCCTCATGTGCTTCATTAGGACACAAAAGGTTAAGTTTCCTAAGTTACCTTGAGGCTACCAAATCCAAATCACACCTTCCACGCTAACGTAACCAGACCCGTGAAAGAACGGATTAGTTTTCAAGCTGGTTTTCCATAAAGATTTGTAATCATGTATAACATGTATAGAGCATTTCTTAGACCAAGCAAGTAAAAAGTGACAACCCAATTCAGCAATCAAGGTTTTTCAATTAAAAGAATAAACAAACAACTTGAACCACATTTACCAGAATGAACACGCTGGTATGTCCTATGCAGCAGAATGAGGTTAGTACTGTTGAGATACTGTAACTGTACTTACTAAGTAATTTAACAAGGATTTCACCTTACCTGAGTATGAAAATTTGAAATGGTGGTTGTTTCGATATCTTTCTTGCCCAGAATTTCCATTTTCACTGGAGTGTTGGGGAAATTAAAAGCAAAATAGTCCAAGAAGTCCGGGAGATAGGCAGCCGCTCCATGCACTATTGCTAAAGCATAGTAAGCAGCATTTTTCTCATTTTCACTGAATGTCAAAGCAAGAAACTCCTCAGAAAATCTCTCCATCTCCATTGGAGACAAAAATGAGAGTTCATCCATGTAAGCATGAAGGACAAGAGCACCACCATTCGACTGGTGTTCCTCATGAATAAAGTTGCTAAATTTAGTACCTGTTTTTAAGAAATTTCTACGAATAGAATGCTCCTGGTGAGTCATAAAAGGCGTCTGCACCCCCTGGGGTACCCGGTACTCTTGCATGCCCAGATTTAAGCGGCACAGCTGTTCATCCTTCAGGTACCTGAAGGACTCCTTGTTAACTCCCGAAGTGCTATTTACTTGCCCTTGGGTGAGGATTTCCTTACTGATGCGCGTCAGGCCAGCACAGACAGTTTGTACTTCCTTATTGTACATTTTAAGGCGTCTTCCTCGCATATCTTCTCGGTGTTTCTTTTTCTTTTTCTTCTTTATTTTCTTCAAGACAAAATCATCGGCTCTCTGGGTTTTACCATTTTCATCTGGTGTTTCTGGCCACAATAATTAAAAACAAGTTAGTTGCTAGGTCTAGTGTCAACATACAAGCTTCTTAAGGTACCTGACCTCAAATTAAACAGCCTATTCTGTTTCTATGAATTTCCCATTACATGTTTATAAAATGAATGAGGCAAAAATCTTAAAGTACAATAACATTCCGGCTTGAAGAGTATGCTAAAGAGCAGATAATGCAAAGGTCAGATAAAACTTAATTATGACCTGTAATCAAAAAACTAAAGGAGACAGAGAAGTAACTGATTTCATATATGCCATACAGAATGGTTTATCTGTTCAGTAACTGCTGTAAAATCTACATTGAAGCTCATTATATTTTGCTGTCAGTCTACACATTATTATGATACATATAGGTGAATCAGACAAAGGGAAATTAGGCTGTAAGACATCATTCTGCCTATCAAATTGGCAAAAAGAAAAAGCGGCATTCTCACGTACTGTTGCTGGCAGTAGAAACTGGCACAACTGTCATGAAGGGCGATTTGGTACCCTCTAAAATGAGTGTGTACCAAAAGACAAAACTATTTATAATTCTCAGATCCAAAAATTCCACTCCCAAGTAAAAATTACCTAAGGAAATATCTGAAGATACATAAAAACATTCATGACACAGTTCTTTAGGGAATCTCCTGTCTAATAATAGGATATTGATTAAACTCTGGTACTTATATATGATAAAATACTACCCAACCGTTAACAAAGTATATTATAGAAGGTAAGAACTGACAAATTGCATGCTTACAAAATGCTTTATATTGTCCTCGTGCAGAAAGCCTTCTCTTAGTAACTCTTGTCCACCCAATTTGGATAGCAACTCCTCCCATGTGCTTCCTTATTACTGTTACTTCCCATCACAGCACGGGACCACATTCAGTGGTATTATTTATTTAGTTTTCCACCCTTCCTCTAGACTGTAAGCAATCTAAAGTCAGGTATACATATGTATAGAAAGATATATAGATAAAGATATCTTACCTTTCCTTCCAGAGCATCTACCACACGCATAATCTTATCCTATTTTTATAATATTAAACATGCATTCACTCAAACTTTTATTTAGTACCTACTATGTACCAAGGACACTTTTGGGCACTAAGAATATGGTATTAACTAAGACAGACATGATCTCTACTCTCTTGGACCTTACAATCTAGCTGGACAAGAAAGAGAAAGTTATCAGTAGGTTACTAGATGCTGGGGAGCTCTCTTTGGGAGGTGACATTTACATTGAGTTCTAGATAATAAGACAAGCACCTTTTTGAGAGAAAATTATTCTAGGGGGAAGCAAAGTACCTAAAGAGAGGAAAAAGTCTGACTTACCTATATATGTTTTGTATATATACAACACAGAAAATTATCTGGAGAAATATGTATCAAAGTGTTAATGGTAGTCATCTAGGCTGGTAGGATTATAAATGTCTAGCTTTTTTTTTTTTTTTTTTTTTGCCTATCTGTATTTTCTAATTTTGTACAAAAACATGTATTACTTTTATAATTAAAATTTTTATTTTTAATTTTAAGGGTTTATCATGGATTGACAAACCCAAAATAGGATGCATCTTTTATTTACTAGTTGGAAATATACCTAGCAAGAATTCTTTAGGATTAAATATCAGATATAGTCCTGACCTACCTTCAAGCACCCAACAAGAATATTTATTGCATAGTAATATGCAGTGTTATGGAACTGCAAATAGTAATATGCAAACAGTATGGTATTTATTGTATAGAATTTATGCACCCAACAATACTGTTTCTGACATGATTCAACTAATTCAGGGTTAAGATAGGTACTTCAACTAATCCTACTACTATACCTGGGAAGAACAAGTTCAATAAATTTAACAATAAAAATTTTACTTGGTACATAATATGTAAATATATGATAGTTGCAGTGCTCTATACAAAATCATTCTAATCACCACATATTACAGGTTATAAAACCCTTCTAAAGAAAATATTTAAAAGTTTAAATCGAAGACTTTAAAATGTATAGATACCAAATGATTTTCATTCTGTTTAATGATTGCTTTGAAACAAAAAGAAAACCACGTGTGAACATCCCTTGTAATTAAACTGAGATCACTGACCAAATATACATGTCATCAGGTTATTTAAATTGGCAAGAGAAAAAGCAATCTTTTATTCTACATACAACTAAATCTTTGAGAATTCATTAAAACACTTAGTCACAATCAATTTATCACCAAATAAAATTAATCTAAGTACTTTTCCTATATGTCAAATCAATAATATAGGCAATTCTGCCAAGCAACTAAATGTTAATGTTGTTAAATATAAAGGTTAATCCAATTTTTTAGAAAAATCATCTAATTACCCTCTGCTAAATGTTTTAGCAATTTCACAGGAAAAAAAAAAATCTCTGAATAGATCCTCTTATTTTAAGCTTCACAGAAGGTATTTTGTATGCAGAAGATGAATTTACAGAAGATGAATTGTAACCTAGATCTGCCACTGAAATTAACACCAAGGAGCTGCCTTGATTGTAGTACATTTTCGTTATTGCTATCAGATTACCAACGATATTCCTAATATAACACAGCCAAGTCTCTGTGGGTTTTATTCCAAAACTCATAAGAACCATTTAATTAACCCAACATGGTCCATCTCAAAAAAAAAAAAACAAAAAAACCCCCCACTGTATAAGGAAATGAAAAAGGCCTTAAATTGATTGTAATCTCCTACTTCAACATGATAAAAGTTTAAAACATGAAATAAATTTCGATCTCTCTACTCACTAACCCTGTTCTTCAAATTTTGATTCTTATCTAAGGCTGAGATATAGAAAGCTCATTTTTGTTTATAGAGAAATCTGAAACAACTTATGTCACACTAGCTAATGAATTTCCATGAATAAATAATCATTGTTTTTGAATTATTATGGTGGTAACTAATTGAGAATGGCAAACATATACAAAGTTGTTAAAGGTTATTATATGAAGTTAGCCGTGACTGCTTAATGAGAATATTGAGGGTGCCTTGCCTTGAATTAAAATCCTTATTTAAAAGTCAATGTCTCTGCAATTTAAATTATTCAAACCAATATGTTGTACACCTTAAATTCACACAATGTTATTATATATCAATTATTATCTCAATGTTTTAAAAGTCACTGTCTAAAGAATTAACAATCCCCTTCTGGTAGAGTGTGTTAGCGTTCCAACATAGAATGTACTCACACCAACTACACTTAAATAAAAATTAAAAATTAAAATAAATTTAAAAATTAAAATGTCAATTTGGAAAGAAAAGAAAAACTGTGATGGAACTTTAAGAAAAATGTATCCAGGAAGTAACATTTGAGTATCTCCCTAGAGTACAAAAGCTAAAATTTATTGACAAGAGTTCATTTATAGAAAAAGAGCCAAGCTACATTGTATCTGTGATTAGGAAAGCTTTCACATATCAAACTGTGAGATTAATTATAAAGAGATGTAATTCTCCAGAGGAAAATACAAACATTCATCTAAGAGACAAATTGCTGGCTGCCCTTAAAAAAGTCACAACTAAAACTAGATTAACATATGACATTCAATAAAATCGTATGTTTTAATATCATTATTATCAACTATCAAATAGCATAATTTATTTAACGTCATTATTCAAATTTCCATGAATGCAAAAACAAATGAGCTTTCCATATTGTAAACCACAAATCATAACACTATTCTTAGGCTTGAATTATAGCTTAGAAGTGAAAAAAAAAAGTAATACCCTTATTCCTAAAAAATCATGAGGTACAACAAGCAAAAACAAAACAATTACTATTTTATTAATCATAATAAAGAAAAAAGACTAAAGTTTTCTAAAAACAAATTCTTTTTGGTTTTATTAAGCTCTTCCAGTTCCATATTTAAAACCTGACTAAAAAAGAAACACTAAAAACTATTCATGTTGAAGGTCATTATTCAGTAAATCAGTGCATGTCTGTGACACCGCCTCCCTTTACTGCCCCCTCCGCCCCACTGTATTCGTTCCAAGGGTGGCGGGCTGCGTCTGAATCCCCGTCCTAGCAGTATTACCTTTCTCAAGTTTATTTCTTTGTACCATGCTTCTCATTGGTAAATGGGGGGAAATAACAGTACTTCCTCATAAAATCAATGTGCAGAGTAAACAAAGCATATAAAGTACATATAGTCCTAGAACATAACAAATATTCACTACATGTTAACTAATGTTATTACTCCAAAACATCTGAATTATAGAGATAGTAGAGTGTGCTCTTTAAGAGCAGGTGCTTTACAGTTAGAAAGACCTAGGCTAATGTCCCAGCTCCACTGCTGACCGGTCTCGAGGCAAGGTCATAAATCTCTTTAAACTTCAATTTTCTCATCTTAAAACATATTAATACTAATATCTATCTCAGACTTATTGTAAGCACTGCGACAACATGAGGCCTCATCACAGTATCTGACCACAAGTCCACACCATCCTTATTATCATTTTCATAATATTTGATAATATTCCTTGAGATAATTGGCAGTAACTCTGAGATATCAAAACTAGAGCTAGAAATTACCAGTCTAGAGTACAATGTATTGTACCACAAAGAAACATATAAAAGGGAAAATAAATCTCTGAAAGGAAGAAAACTATTATTCACCACATGTCTGCTAGTAATCATGTATTATCTCACTTTAACCCTCAAACCTGTAAAATAGATACATAAATCCTTTTTACAGAGAAGATAACAGCTTGAAACACTGCCTGTTATTTACATTAGGTCACAAGGCCCGGTAGGTGACAACCAAGATCCAAATATCTCACTGGTCTGACTCCAAAACTCAAACTCTTCACACACACTCCTCTCCATTCTTTCTGCCTTTTCTACAGGCTCCTCTCCGCAGCATTCCCGTTGGATGATCAACTAAAATGATCTAATTACAATTAATGGGCTTGAGGCAGCTTGGAAGAACCTCTAATAAAGGAAGCATTACTTCATCCAGCAAGTATTTTA